GCTTTCGTTTAGCGTCGCTGCTAATGTGGGTCGTGTAGTTGCGGACATCGCATATATATTACGAAAATCTCCAACTTGAGTGCAATTTTGCCAGACGTGTTTCTTCTTCGTTTTCAGTGCAGAATCTTGAAGTTAGCATTGTCTGTCCAAAGAACGATCTTCAAAAATTGTTGTTTCAGCTCGTACTTTGTACCATCCGCCTTTACGAGGTGTTAATGGACTGTACCTTCACTTTACTTGAGACGCCTCTGCGATAAGGACATGAATTTTTGTTTTCTAACCTCGTTTCCTATTAACTGTACAATTCGTGCCCTTTTATGTTCGCTTGCAGCTGAAATTACTTCTTCTCAACAAATTCTGCTTCCATAGTTTTTTTCTTTTGTACCATATTGATCTTCTCTCTCTAAATACTTATTTTTGATGCAATTTAGTCAGAGAATGGCAGGAGCGTGATTTGAGTTAGGGCTCAAACTATTTCTTTTCAAAAAAAATGTTTCACGTTTATCTTTTCCAAACCTTTCTTTCTCCAAAGATGATGGTCAAAATCTCTTTTTTCCTTGTTTTTCTTGCTCTTACTCACTTGCTTTCATCTTCACTAAATAAGACAACCTAAGTGCTTCCATGCTTTTTTTTTCAACCAGTTCTTGCCAACAGCGAGTCTCTCTATGATGACGACATAACCAGTTTTGTTCCCATTTGTTTTCAACGAAATGGGTTAATAAGCTATTTATAAGTTTTAGTCACAGTGCTATAGGGAAGGGTCATGACAGAATTCATCTTCTCCTCAGATTTGTACTTGACAACGTTATCAGTATTTTTCTTCATGGAAATGTTCTTTGATCAGTTATCGCCCTTCTTCAGCGAGAGTGCTGGCAAATCGAGTTTGCAGAATTTTTTTAATTTGCTTTAGCAAAAACTTTGTCACTAGGTGCTTGAGCGATCTTTGATTCACTGGCTTGAACGTTGCAACAACATGTGCCACCAATTCTTCACTTTTCTATTTACGTCTGTCACTTCTGTCTGAATGTGATAATGTTACAGCTTTTAATAAGATCTTTGTCGTCCCTTTTGTACGTTAGTGTGCTCATGCCTCTTAAGAATCGTTTTTTAAGGGTCAAGATGACTATGGTAAATAGTTATCCTGAAAGGATGAATTTATCGTTCTCGGGATGTGGATTTCTTTGCATATATCACGCGGGAGTTGCTGCTGCCATAAAAGTTGGTTTTTTGCTTGGTCATTTTTTTCATAGAGGAAAAAAAGATCCTAAGCAGTTTTGATGATCCACATGTTTACTATTGACTTTTATTTGAAATGTAGTTGTGTGATGATATATAAAAGATTATCTACAAGCCAGTCATATTATTTTTTTCGATATGGTCGAATCTTGTCAGCAGAAATTGGAAATTTGACTGATCGACTTTTGATGTTTTTTGCAATTACCTTTGAGCTCATCTTATCTATTCTTATCTACTAAATTTCAGGAATATGCACCTAATCTTATTCAAAATAAAATCTCTGGAGCATCAGCAGGAGCTATCATAGCGGCTACTTTAGTCACAGATGTTTGCGTATCACAAGTAACCAGCACTATTTTGAAGATCGTTAGTCAGGTACTCTAACCTAGCTTACAGTAGAACGTTCAAAAAGGCTTAACACGATTGTTGTAGGCACGGTCACGAGCTCTAGGGCCTTTGCATCCTGAATTTAACCTTCTTGGTTTGGTTCGAGCTGAAATACAACGTTATCTGCCTCCAGATGCATACAAAAGGTAAAGCGGTCTGACAGTGTTGCTGTTTTACTCATGTTTACTTTTTTAGATGCACTGGCCGCTTGCAGGTGTCTTTAACTAGATGGAGCGATAGCAAAAATGTCGTTGTTACGGAGTTCGCCTCTAACGAAGAGTTGGTAGATGTTAGTTTGCAGACTACTTTGCTTCTAGTGCATTTTCTCCAAAATCAGTTCTATATTTATGTAGAATTGATTGTTTTCTAGGTGATTATCTGCAGTTGTTTCATTCCCGTGTATTGCGGTGTTACGCCACCGACATATCGAGGAGAAGCGTATATCGACGGTGGTTTCACCGATAATCAGCCGTCTTACGATGATCACACAGTGACAGTTAGCCCGTTTTGTGGCGAATCGGATATCTGTCCGCCTGATTGGGACAGCGCAAGGTATGTTGATAATGTAGTGAGGATTTGCCGATACCTGTAGGCTCTCGAACGCGATATGCATATCTATTTTATACTTCACCACTTCTTTTTGGCAATTCAAATTTGAACTAATTAAATCGCAATCTTTGTGATCTACCTTTCCCTGTCCCTGTGTAAATAAGACTTTTTCAGTTTCTTCGGCTTTTCCTTCTCGAATACCTCGATCAGATTCACAACACGTAATCTCTTCCGGTTAACAGCTTGTTTGATGCCTCCATCGACAGAAGATTGCTCCAAAATGTGTCTTCAGGGATTTGAGGATGGCCTTCGATTTCTTACAAAAAATGGTTTGTACACAAATTCCCTTCCTTTTTTTGGTTCAAAAAAAAATTCTTTCCAGCAATGGCTCCGTGTATCCGCTGCTTAACAGTTCAGACTGACCTAGAAAAAGCCGATTGTTGTAGTCCTACCGAAGCTGTTCAACCACTTTCCCCA